TATGTGGCCCTTACAACATTCACAGTGTTGTTCCACTGTTACCCCTGTCTAGTTTCAGGGCATTTTCCATCTCCCCAAAAGGAAACCCCATGCCTATTTTTTTTTAAGATTTATTTATTTATTTGAAGGAGAGAGAGAGAGAGCAAGTGCACGAGCAGGGGCAGAGGCAGAGGGAGAGGGAGAGGGAGAAGCATGCTCCCGGCTGAGCAAGGAGCCTGACGTGGGGCTCAATCCCAGGACCCCGAGATCATGACCTGATCTGAAACCCAGGAGTCAGACACTCAACCGACTGAGCCACCCAGGCACCCCGAAACCTCCTGCCTATTAAGCAGCCTTTCCCCATTCTCCCTTCTCCTCAAGCCTGGCAACCACGAATCCGCTTTCTCTCTTCATAGTTTGACCTATTCTGAATGTTTTGTGGAAATGAAATCATACAATAAGTGACTTTCTGTGTCTGACTTTGCGTGGAGCTAACTCACAGCCTGCGCCCCAGGGAAGAGCTGTTCTAGCTGTGAGGGGAGATCCCCAGGCCCTCTAAGAACGGCATTCACCTGGGTAGACTCTGCTCTGTGGGCGTCCCGCTGCCTGGGCCGAACGTCAGGTCAGCGTTGTGTGAGGGGCACCGGCCTCCTCCCGGAGAATCTCTCTGCATCAAGAGAAGGAGGGCAAGGATTGAGGGAGTGTGCAGCTTGCTGAATTTCCCTCCTGTCTCCCTCCCACCGTGGTCCCCCGCTGTCCTATGGAAGGGGTGTTCCTTTGCTTCTCTGCAGGTCCTCACCATGGTATAGATTTTATCTGTGTGTGTGCGTGTGTGTGTAGGGGTGTGAAACCCAGTGTTCCTTCCTGGGATGATTTGATTGATGTATGCACTGGAAACATCTTTAATAATTTAATGCCTGCTTCAAAGGAGATTACACCAAAAAGCACATTGCTTTTCATTTATTCATTACAGATCCGTCATAGCAGAATTTTTTTTTTTTTTTTTGGCCTGAGTTGTAGTGTCGTAGTAATAATAAATTGTGTTCTACACTGTGGATATTTTGAAGCATTATAAACTTTTAAACTCCTGTTACTGTCTTATTTAAATTGATCCAGTTGGTAGCGTAGCACCTTAATCTTGCATTTCGTAAAGCTGAGCTAACCCGACGCGGCTTCCTGTGATGACAGTGAGGTAACCATGGTGGGAAAGCCTAACAGAATGAATGGGATGCAAGAGTGATACTGTGTGTTTGCGGCGGCACCCACAGTGGTGGGGAGAACAGAGCCTGCATTCCGGGCTGGGCGACTCCCTTCTTGGAGAGAGGCTAGGGTCTGTCCCAGCTGCCTGCCTGAAAGGAAGAAAAAAAATGTATATGTGTTTGGGAATTGGGAGTGAAGAAAAAGGGTACAAGGAGAAACACAGGAAAGAAGTGAACCAACTCAAACTCTGGAACTAACTGAGGATGATATTAAAGAAGATGGCATTGTCCCACTTCGTTATGTTAAGTTTCAGAATG